TCTGGGCTGTGATTGACAGCTCACTTGTCACACACAAAAAAAACAGACAGTTGTCATTGCTGCTTCAAGCTAATTGTTTACACACCAGAAAGTCTCATTCCACCCTTGTTTACATACTAAAATAATTGTAGAGCTACACACCTGAACCTAATCCACGCAATTATCTCAAAATTACTCATGTAATTTTATTTTAAACCACTAGATGTCGCCAGAATATTCCAACCTGCCTGTGAGAGTTGTGGGTTTATATTACTGGCGCAGAGAGACGCACGTCACACATACAAACTAACGTCATAGCGAATTACAGAGTCAATGGAGAGGCCACAACCAAATTCAAATGTAGTACCACCAAAAAAGGTATAGAGAGCGCCACACAGAAGTTTTTTGGCTCAAAAGTGAGATTTTATCTAATTTGAACTAGAATGTCAAAAAAATGACCAGGATATGTAGAGAGTACTACAATTAACATATTTATGCAGTTTATGAGTTAAAAAAGTTGATTTGGTTTAGTCGCTCTATAAATACCTCGACTTATGGCTTGATCCTTCTCTGTCATTTAATATATGTACAGTGCCTTGCGAAAGTATTCAGCCCCCTTGAACCTTTCAACATTTCGCCACATTTCAGGCTTCAAACATAAAGATAAAATTTTAATTTTTTGTCATGAATCAACAACAAGTGGGACACAATCGTGAAGTGGAACGAAATGTATTGGATAATTTAAACTTTAACAAATAAACTGAAAATTCGGGCGTGCAATTTTATTTGGCCCCTTTACTTTCAGTGCAGCAAACTCAGTCCAGAAGTTCAGTGAGGATCTTTGAATGATCCAATGTTGTCCTAAATGACTGATTATGATAAATAGAATGCACCTGTGTGTAATCAAGTCTCCGTATAAATGCACCTGCGCTTTGCTAGTCTCAGGGTTCTGTTTAAAGCACAGAGAGAACCATGAAGACAAAGGAACACACCAGGCAGGTCCGAGATACTGTTGTGGAGAAGTTTAAGGCCGGATTTGGATACAAAAAGATTTCCCAAGCTTTAAACATCTCAAGGAGCACTGTGCAAGCAATTATATTGAAATGGAAGGAGTATCAGACCACTGCAAATCTACCAAGACCCGGCCGTCCCTCCAAACTTTCATCTCAAACAAGAAGACTGATCAGAGATGCAGCCAAGAGGCCCATGATCACTCTGGATGAACTGCAGATAACTACAGCTGAGGTGGGAGAGTCTGTCCATAGGACAACAATCAGTCGTGCACTGCACAAATCTGGCCTTTATGGAAGAGTGGCAAGAAGAAAGCCATTTCTCAAAGATATCCATAAAAAGTCTCGTTTAAAGTTTGCCACAAGCCACCTGGGAGACACACCAAACATGTGGAAGAAGGTGTTCTGGTCAGATGAAACCAAAATCGAACTTTTTGGCCACAATGCAAAACGATATGTTTGGCGTAAAAGCAACACAGCTCATCACCCTGAACACACCATCCCCACTGTCAAACATGGTGGTGGCAGCATCATGGTTTGGGCCTGCTTTTCTTCAGCAGGGACAGGGAAGATGGCTAAAATTGATGGGAAGATGGATGGAGCCAAATACAGGACCATTCTGGAAGAAAACCTGTTGGAGTCTGCAAAAGACCTGAGACTGGGACGGAGATTTATCTTCCAACAGGACAATGATCCAAAACATAAAGCCAAATCTACAATGGAATGGTTCACAAATAGAAGTATCCAGGTGTTAGAATGGCCAAGTCAAAGACCTGAATCCAATCGAGAATCTGTGGAAAGAGCTGAAAACTGCTGTACACAAACGCTCTCCATCCAACCTCACTGAGCTCTAGCTGTTTTGCAAAGAAGAATGGGCAAGAATTCCAGTCTCTCGATGTGCAAAATTGATACATACCCCAAGCAACTTGCAGCTGTAATTGCAGCAAAAGGTGGCGCTACAAATCATAAGCGCAAGGGGGCCGAATAATATTGCACGCCCCACTTTTCAGTTTATTTGTTAAAAAAGTTTAAATTATCCAATACATTTCGTTCCACTTCACGATTGTGTCCCACTTGTTATTGATTTTTTTTATATCTTTATGTTTGAAGCCTGAAATGTGGCGAAATGTTGAAAGGTTCAAGGGGGCCGAATACTTTCGCAAGGCACTGTAGCTTTAATTCGGGTGAAGAACATAACAGTATGAGCTCTGCTCATCGTCCCTTCAGTAAAGATGAACCTAAACTAACAAGAACGCTGGTTTCCAACGACCAAAAATGGCTACATTTGAAAATTTACATTTCAAATAATGGCGCACAGGGGCGACAGAGGCTACGCTGGTAGAGCATTGGCCTTTGAGCCTGAAGGTCGTGGGTTCGATCCTCTCACAAGACCTACTTCAACTGCTCCCGCTCATGTCTGCTGTCGTTGTGTCCTTGAGCGAGACACTTAACCCCACGTTGCCCCAAGCTCTCACTGAAAGACCAAGGCTGTGTTACCACTGACGGAGCAGCCATCTTCCTCTGCTGGTGGTGAGTCCACAGGATCAGTGAGGGACTGGTGCTATGAGCACCTCTCATTGACTTCTGCCCCAACCCAGAAATTGACTAATAAAAGGGTTTGAAAATGTATGAATGCTCCCAGTTTCTGCTTACCTATTGCAGATTCAGTCTTCCCAGCCTGGTGCAGGTCTACAATTTTGTAATTTTTTTAATCATTCCGTCTCTCATAGTTGAGGTTTACCCATGATGAAAATTACAGGCCGCACTAGTCTTTTTAAGTGAAGGAACTTGCACAATTGGTGGCTGACTGAATACTTTTTTACCCCACTATAGATACAAAAAGTCAGTGTTGGGAAGATAAAAAAAAAGGGTACACAAGCGGAGTAATGACACTTTCAAAACTAAAGCCATCAAGTTGACTGCACTGGGAGTTAAGTGTTAAAGAGAAATGCTGAACACGAGATTTCATTTTTCTGTACAAATAACATTGGTGAAAGGAAACATTAAATTCAAAAAGCACTAGTTAAAAACCAGAACAAGCTTTAGATCCAAATATTTGAGCTACAAACATGTAAACTCATATCCAGTGGCAGTACATTACAGGCTAAACCAGAGTAAGGCCAGATAATAAAAACTTACAAAATGAGTTTTCCAATATATTTATTTGAAATTAACCAAAACTGGAAAACAGAAGTGTCTATCCTCATTAAATTATGTTTAAATCTACAACCCGTTATATGGCAAAGGAAGAGAATATACTACACTTTCACTTTAAACCCCTCATAAATAAAATAAAAAGGCAGAAAAAAACTTAAAGCTGAGGTATGTAACTTTCAAACCAGAACAAAAATTAACCATGAAGTAAAAAAATTAGGGCTGTCAAAATTATCGCGTTAATTCACGTTAATTACCGTTTTCATTAACGCGTTAAAAAATAATTAACGCATTAACTGCCATTGACGTGTTAAGACGTCAATTGCGTTTCCCGCTATTTTTACGTTCCCAGATGTCTATTGTATCAAATATGTAAGGCTTGAGCCAATATTTTATTGAGCCAGCAGATGGCAGCATTGCTCTATGAATGGTTTGAAAACAGCTAGAAGCTAGATAAGATAATAAAACTTACCCCTACTCGACTGGGGATTACAGGGGAACGAAACAAGCTAGAAACTAAATTATTTTTGCTGATGAAAGTAGACTGTCCATTCTTTCAGAATTTAGATAGTCATAGTACACAATATTCTGTGGGTCTTAAAAATTCAGTAAAAATCATCAGAAACAGCTGGCAATATGGGAGTTCTGAAATAGGCTGGCAGTCAATCACATGTCCGAATGACCCGCCCATTTATAAAAATATCAATCAGAATGCCGTGGACACGTGCGTGTGTGTGATGGTGACAGCGGTAACGTGGTCATATAATACACGCATATATATATATATATATACGCACAGGGGCCATTCTCTGATGTGTTTGACACACGGAGGAGAGGAGGAGACACGCTGAAATGCAACCAAACTCGCAAAATTAAAGCTGGGGTACCTACATTTTCCCTTTCATTAACAGCTCTTGTTGATTGTACCCAAAAGTAGAAGGTTGGGAGCAAGTCAAACAGATTTAAGTACATTTGGTATCAATAACAATGTGTCATTACATTTGAAAATGTCATTTAACTTCAATTGGAGTGGATTTGAAATAGAATGTTAAAAATGCGATTAATCGTGAGTTAACTCACCATTACTATGCGATTAATCAACTAAAAAAAATTAATCGTTTGACAGCCCTAAAAAAAATACATCAAATGTTTGACTATTGCTAGTTTTCACATAGAGGCTAAAAAAAAAAAAACATACTTGTAACATTTTTAAATCAGCTTTTTCAGACAGAAAAGAGAAAAAGAACTTCAACTGTAATATTTGTTTACCCGCCGTAACTATGGCAACAAGACAGTGCCAGCAAACGGAAAGGAAATACGATGCATTTATAAAATCAAACCTTTCACTTTATAAAATCAAAAGGATTTTTTCTTTTTTACAAGCATTCAAAGTCAGCAACAAGACATCAACAATAAAAACAGACCGTCCAAGAATGACTCTAAAGTCATGGATTTCTTTGGAACACTAGATTCAAAGATGGACGTCTCGACTTACAGTCTATGTTCACGACCCAAGAGAAGGAAGGCAGTTTCCCATCGAGAGCAGACTACGGTGGCCCCTGTGGTCCAAAACAAGCCCTCAACCAGTTTTTCTCCAGTCAGTCAGAGCCTCTTCGATTGGGAAAATTTCTCTTTCCCAATTTAAGAGTTAGTTAATGATTCCTTTTAAAATGAACAAAACTTAATTTCCTGCGTCTGTTTGGAAGACATGTGTCCAAAAGTCTAGAGTCCCTAAAGTCCCTTTGCTTGGACTAACAGCCAACTCCTTTTTTACATATATACAGTAGAAGAGTAACAAGTGACTCCTGACTCCAACGTTCATAAAATAAAATGATTCAAACACGTTGCTCAGTGTGTTTACTGGCAGCTGCTGCTCCGTGTTCCAGTGATGTTAATGGAATTAAAATCAATGACGATCTCTGTCCTCTTGGGTTTGAACTGTCTGCAAAAACAAAAACATTCAGATCATAAGTAGGAAGCCGACAAGGGTTTTAAAACTGGTGGTTATAAGGATTTGGGGGAGAATACAATGAAAGTCAGCACAAAAAAAAGTCACACAAAAAAAAAAACTTTTGATACAGCGAGGCCACGAGAGGTGAACCTTTAACAATGCTGGAGCATTACTTGAATTACTTGTTCACTTAAGACATTATTAAAAATTCTAGTCAAGCTGCATTTCAGGGTGGAGACCAGATGCTACTCACCTGAACTGGACTCCTGCCATGTTGAGCAGCCTCCTCGACGCAGTCATACCAGGAGTGTCGTGATATTTATCTGATAAATACACCACTTCCTTGATCCCTGGAGTTAAAAAAACATTCCAATCATAACACTAAAAATGTGGTGGTGCCTTGACGCTGGAAATGACTTTCACTTGAAACAAGAAAATGGAGCAGTGTCTCTCACTGCTGTTTGGTTTGTTGGCCGTCACAACAGTGAGACTCGTCCCCCACCCGGAGGCGGAGGGACACGACCCTCTCATTCAAAAGTGTATGCCCCCCTGTGTTGGTGCTGTGAGTTCCACAACTCACAGCACCCACTCCCTCTGGCTCCAAGTGACTTGCATTGAAAAGTAAACTCCTCTAGCTCAGTAACTGTTTGTGTCACACCTGGTTTAGCGTTCTCTACGATCTTTTATTTTGTCTTTGGTCCAGTTTTGCTTCAATGGGCCCTATGCACGCACCACTTCCACGTTTTAGTTATTGTGGAAGATTAACCACACACAGACGGGATCCTTGCGCACCAGAGCTCATGGAAGTTTATTTAGTCTCCTTCGGGTTTAAGTTGTTTCAGTTTTTACAGACAGAAGAAAGTCAGGACATGGTTTTTATAGTCATTGTAACATCACAGATATGTCACACATCGAAAGACATGTGTCGCATCCAGGGACAATCAGAACATATTAGAGTCATAACATGGAAACACAATGAAGTCCTTGTGACTGTAAGGGCCAGATATTTTGGCTTGCGCTTGTCCACCTGCGTAGGCCATAGCTATCCTTATTATAACAACACTTAACTTCCGGTGTGCGGGAATCGGCTTGAGTTTCACTGGAGTTCAGCAGATGTTTAGGCAAGGCAAGGCAAGGCAAGTTTATTTGTATAGCACAATTCATACACAAGGCAACTCAAAGTGCTGAACAAGATAGCATTAAAATCATAAATAATCACAGAACATTAAAAAGAAAGATAAAAAAATATAAAATCCCTCAGTTGTATGCACAGCTAAACAGCACAGTTTTTAACTTGGTTTTAAACATAGTCAGAGAGGAGGCCTGTCTCACATCTTCAGGAAGATTGTTCCAGATTTTAGCAGCATGAATCTGAAAAGCAGCCTCCCCATGTTTAGTTCTGACTCTGGGCACTAACAGGAGTCCAGTCCCTGTGCTCCTCAGAGTCCGGGCTGGTTCATATGGGACTAACATGTCACTAATATATTTTGGTGCGAGGCCATGGAGAGACTTGTACACAAGCAAAGCTGTTTTAAAGTCTATTCTCTGAGCCACAGGAAGCCAGTGCAGAGACCTGAGGACCGGACTAATATGGTCGTAATCCTGGTTCTAGTCAGGACTCGAGCTGCTGCATTTTGAATGTACTGCAGCTGTTTTACAGCCTGTTTGGACAGACCTGTGAGCAGGCCATTGCAGTAGTCTAACCTACTGGAGACAAATGCATGGATAAGAATCTCCAAGTCTGCTTTAGACACTATGTTTTTGATCCTGGAAATGTTTTTTAGATGGTAAAAAGCTGCTGATGTTACTGATTTGATGTGGCTATTAAAATTTAAGTCTGAGTCCAGTATTACCCCTAGATTTCTGACCTTGTTTGAAGGTTTTAGGGAGAGAGACTGTAGGTGACAGATGACGCTCTCTCTTTGTTTCTGGGGACCAAAGACAATCATTTCAGTTTTGTCTGCGTTTAGCTGAAGGAAGTTGTTTTGCATCCACTCACTAATTCGTTGGATACAGTGAAGGAGTGAGTCCACTGGTCCATGTTCTCCTGCAGTCAGTGAGACATAGATCTGAGTGTCGTCTGCATAGTTATGATAGGACACTTTGTTTCTGCGTATTAACTGACCTAACGGCAGCATGTAGAGATTGAACAGAAGAGGTCCCAGGATCGACCCCTGTGGTACTCCACAGGTCAGGGCCATATGATCTGAGACACAGTTTCCAATCTCCACAAAGTACTTCCTGTCTTCAAGGTAAGACCTAAACCAACTTAGGGCGGTGCCAGCGACGCCAACCCAGTCCTCTAGTCTCTGTAAGAGGATCTCATGGTCGACAGTGTCAAAGGCAGCACTTAGATCTAACAGGATTAGGATTGAGACTTTGCCTGCGTCAGTGTTTAGCCGGATATCGTTTGTAACCTTGACAAGAGCAGTCTCAGTGCTGTGGTGGGGTCTAAAGCCGGACTGAAACATATCAAATGAGTTGTTGATTATAAGAAATCTATTTAGCTGTTGGTAGACAACTTTCTCAAGGACTTTCCCCATAAATGGCAGATTTGAGATGGGACGGTAGTTGTTAAGTACCGTAGCATCCAGACTGCTCTTTTTAAGCAGGGGCCTGATGACTGCAGTTTTCAGGGCCTTTGGGAATATTCCAGAATGAAGGGACATGTTTACTATCTGTGTGAGTGAAGGTAACAGACTGCTCAGAACAGACTTTAGAAATCTAGTGGGTAGTACATCCAGGCTGCATGTGGAGGAGCTCAAACTGGAGATTATCTCTTGGACAGTTTGATCATTTACAGGTGCAAAGTAAGTTAGCTCAAAGAGCCTTTTTGGCTGTTGGATGGTTATCTGTGGATTGGAGACAATGGCGTTTTTGATGCCTTGAACCTTGTCATTGAAAAAATGTGCAAACTCATTACATTTACGTTTGGAAGTTAGCTCTAATGGCATCTGAACAGGGGGGTTTGTTAATCTATTAACTGTTGAAAACAGAACACGCAGATTGTTGCTGCAGCCTTCAATCATTTCAGAAAAATACCTTTCTCTCGTACTACGTAGCACCTGGTTAAACTCGCACAACTTATCTTTGAAGATCTCGTAATCAACCTGGAGGTTGGACTTGCGCCACTTCCGCTCGGCCCTCCGGCACTCTCTCTTTTGTGCCCTGACCGAGTCTGCTTTAGCCCACGGCGCCTTCTGCTTATTTTTCACTGTTTTAACCTTCACAGGAGCGATGGTGTCCAGAACATTCAAAACACTAGAGGTGACAGAGTTAAACAGTTCATCTACAGTAGAATACGATGCATTCTCAAAGTTTATCATTCCCATAAATAGTTCACCCGTATTTTCATTTATGTGTCTTCTTCGTACAGTTGCAGAGTCCACTGGTGGTTTGTTAGTGAAACACATGTCAAAAAATACACAAAAATGATCCGAAAGCGCAACATCGACCACGTTTACATTTGAAATATTCACCCCCTTAGTAACTAACAGGTCTAGAGTGTGCCCTCTGCTGTGGGTGGGGCCACTCACATGCTGAGTGAGACCAAAGGTATCAAGTAAAGAACTCAGCTCTTTTGCATTTCTGTCATCAACATTATCCACATGAATATTAAAATCACCTGTAATAACTAAACTATCAAAATCTGTGCATACAACTGAAAGCAACTCTGTAAAATTATCAATAAAACTGTGACATGACTGCGGTGGCTTGTATAGGACTATGAAGAGTATTGGAGGAGATTGTTTTTGTTGTATTTTAAAAGACACATATTCAAAAGACGGAAACTTCCCAAGAGACATTCTATGGGAGACAAAGTGGTCTCTAAAAATGGCAGCTAAGCCTCCTCCTTTTTTGTTTTCCCGTATTTCAGATTCAAATTTGAAATTTGGTGGTGATGCTTCTATTAAAACTGCATTTTCTGTATTTTGGTCAAGCCATGTTTCAGCCATGAACATAAGATCTAGATTATAAGAACAAATAAGATTATTGATTAAAAAAGACTTGTTACAAAGAGATCTGACATTTAGCATAGCAAGTTTCAAAGTTTCAGTATCAGCGGTTGTGGTCGGCTGATTCTTACACGGAACAAGAATTAGATTTTCCTGATTAGACTGATTAACTTCAGATGTTTTTCTGTAATGTATTCTTTGTGTTATCACTAAGGGAATGGCACAGGTGGCTTCATGACAGGGCCCCAGCCGGGTCTCTCCTCTAACTAGACTGCCAGTGGCTGCGAAGCAGAGACCCTGTGCATCCTAGTGTTTAGAGAAAAAAGGGGAAGGGGAAGGCGGGGGAAGAGGATGGAGAGGTGGGTGGTTCTTGGGAGTTGGACGGGGGGGGGTTGAAGGTGGATGGGTTTTTGGTGATGGGTTAGGGGAGGGGCAGGCTGAGTTGGGTGGTGGACGAGAGGGGAGTGGAGGTGGAGGGTTTCTTGGTGCTGGGTTAGGGGGGAGGTGGGCTAAATGAGCAGGAGGGGGGGGTGGAATACTTATGGGGTTAGAGGAGGGACGGGTGGATTTTGTGGGAGAATTTGAGTTGGACGCCCTAGGTGGCTTTGGAGGTACGTATGGGGAGTAGTTTTGAATGTTAGATAGGACTCTTGATCTGGCTACAGGGGTGTGAGAGGAATAGTCTTCATCGCCGATCTTATCATGCCAGCAGAGTGTTCCGGTAATTCCAGTAGTGAAGGCGGAGATAGAAAACAAAGGGAAAGGTCGTCCTCATTTTCCCTAGATGGAGTGGATGTAGCGGGGGGGACCCAAGCCGGGTCCATGGAAGGTGATGAGGGAGTCTTTGGTGGAGACAGAGGTGGTTGAGAGGCCCCCAGTACAGGCCTGACTGTAGCCTGGAGCAGTGGGGGAAGCTTCACGGGAGCTGTAGGTGGGGAAGGTGCTGCTGAAGATGATGGAGCAGCCACTGCTGCTGCTGTATCCACTGCTGCTGCTGAAGATGATGGAGCAGCCACTGCTGCTGCTGAAGATGATGGAGCAGCCACTGCTGCGGCTGTATCCACTGCTGCTGGTGGTGCTGTATATGCTGATGGCGCTGATGAAGATGTGGCAGCTGCTGATGATGCTGGTGGTGGAGGCGTTGAGCTCTTTCGGAGCCGTGGAGGTGTTGAGTTCTTTTGGAACCTTGGAGGTGTTGAGTTCTTCTTGAATCGTGGAGGTGTGGAGTTCTTTTGAGGCGGTGGGGGTGCAGAGACCTCGGGAGTCGGTGGAGATGGTCGTGATGTCTGTGCCCTTTGCTTCTTCTTTCTCCCTTTCGACGGCTGCACGCGCTGCGCAGGCTGAGGTCTTAGGGCAGATGCAAAGTTATCCATCAACACTTTTACTCCGTAGTT